TGGATTTCACTCAAAACTCACCAAATGGCTCCTCCCACCATATTATGATGTTGCCCATGTTTTGGGCTCGATCCGAAATCAGTAGGTGTAAGAAATTGGACAAGTCAAGTTTAAAGGTAGTTCGTTCCAAATTCGAGTGGTTGGGGTAATTCATAGTTCTAGTGATTGGATTTCACTCAAAACACACCAAATGACTCCTCCCACCCTATTATGTTGTTGCCCATGTTTTTGGCTCGATCCGAAGTCAATAGGTGTAAGAAATTGGACAATTCAAGTTCAACGGCAGTTCGTTCCAAATTGGAATGGTTGGTGTATTCCACACTTCTAGCGATTGGATTTCACTCAAAACACACCAAACAACTGCTCCCACCATATTATGGTGTTGCCCAAGTTTTGGGCTCGATCCGAAATGAATAGAGGTAAGAAATAAGACAATTCAACTTCAACGGCAGTTCGTTCCCAATTAGAGTGGTTGGTGTGTTCCATACTCCTACCGATTGGATTTCACTCAAAACTCACCAAATGACTCCTCCCACCATATTATGATGGTGCTCAAGTTTTGGGCTCAATCTGAAATCAAGAGGTGTAAAAAATTGGACAATTCAAGTTCAAAAGCAGTTCGTTCCAAATTGGAGTGGTTGGGGTAATTCATAGTTCTAACGATTGGATTTTTCTCAAAACACACCAAATGACTCCTCCCACCATATTACGATGTTGCCCAAGTTTTGGGCTCGATCCGAAATCAGTAGGTGTAAGAAATTGGACAATTCAAGTTCAAAGGTAGTTCGTTCCAAATTGGAGTGGTTGGGGTAATTCATAGTTCTAACGATTGGATTTCTCTCAAAACACACCAAATGACTCCTCCCACCATATTATGATGTTGCCCAAGTTTGGGGCTCGATCCGAACTCAATAGGTGTAAGAAATTGGACAATTCAAGTTCAACGGCAGTTCGTTCCTAATTGGAGTGGTTGGTGTATTCCACACTTCTAGCAATTGGATTTCACTCAAAACACACAAAAGGACTGCTCCCACCATATTATGGTGTTGCCCAAGTTTTGGGCTCGATCCGAAATGAAGAGAGGTAAGAAATAAGAGAATTCAACTTCAACGGCAGTTCGTTCCTAATGAGAGTGGTTGGTGTATTCCATACTTCTAGCGATTGGAGTTCACTCAAAACTCACAAAATGACTCCTCCCACCATATTATGATGTTGCGCAGGTTTTGGGCTCGATCCGAATTCTATAGGTGTAAGAAATTGGACAATTCAAGTTCAACGGCAGTTCGTTCCTAATTGGAGTGGTTGATGTATTCCACACTTCTAGCGGTTGGATTTCACTCAAAACTCACCAAATGACTCCTCCCACCATATTATGATGGTGCTCAAGTTTTGGGCTCAATCTGAAACCAAGAGGTGTAAGAAATTGGACAATTCAAGTTCAAAAGTAGTTCGTTCCAAATTGGAGTGGTTGGGGTAATTCATAGTTCTAGCGATTGGATTTCCACTACTACAAAAAAGGCAAAAGACGACGGGAATTCACCGTCGTCTATCGGGTTTTCAAACCATCGTAAAATCAAACGACATCTTTTGCAAAGTAAAACCACGACGGGAAATCACCGTCGTTGTTATAAGTAACAACGTCATTAACAAAAAAAAACCGACTTCTGTATATTGAAAAATGAACCAAAAAATTATCGTGGACAAGAATAGACGACCTATTTTATACAAAATCCGTCGTGTAAATAAATACAATACATTTTTAAATAAATAAAATATGACGTTATTAAAACATACGACGTCAAATATATTTATATAACCGTCGTGAAATAGTTTTTCCACTTCGTTTTTTCCATTAATATTGACGTGGAAATAGCGGTTAGGGTAAATCACCGTCGTTATTATAACAAACAACGTCATTAACAAAAAACAACTGACGTCTATATACTGAAAAATGAACCAAAAAATTGTCGTGGAGAAGAATAGATGACCTATTTTATACAAATTCCGTCGTGTAAATAAATCCAATACGTCTTTAAATAAATAAAATATGACGTTATTAAAACATACGACGTCCAATATATTTATATAACCGTCGTGAAATAGTTTTTCCACTTCTTTTTTTCCATTAATATTGACGTGGAAATAGCGGTTAGGGTAAATAACCGTCGTTGTTGTTAAATTGGAAAATTCACGTCCAATGGTAGTTCATTTCTAATTGGAGTGGTTGTTGTATTCCGTACTTCTAGCGTTTGGATTTCACTCAAAACTCACCAAATGACTCCCCCCACCATGTTATGAAGTTGCCCAAGGTTTGGGCTCGATCCGAAATCAATAGGTGTAAGAAATTGGACAATTCAAGTTCAAAGGCAGTTCGTTCCAAATTGGAGTGGTTGGGGTAATTCATAGTTCTAGCGGTTGAATTTCACTCAAAACACACCAAATGACTTCTCCCATCATATTATGGTGTTGCCCAAGTTTTGGCCTCGATCCGAAATTAATAGGTGTAAGAAATTAGACAATTCAAGTTCAAAGGCAATTCGTTCCAAATTGGATTGCTTGGGGTAATTCATAGTTCTGGCGATTGGATTTCACTCAAAGCACACCAAATGGCTCCTCCCACCATATTATGGTGTTGCCCAAGTTTTGGGCTCGATCTGAAATCAATAGGTGTAAGAAATTGGACAATTCAAGTTCAACGGCAGTTCGTTCCTAATTGGAGTGGTTGGTGTATTCCATACTTGTAGCGATTGGATTTCACTCAAAACTCACCAAATGACTCCTCCCACCATATTATGATGTTGCCCAAGTTTCGGCCTCGATCCGAAGTCAATAGGTGTAAGAAATTGGACAATTCAAGTTCAACGGCAGTTCGTTCCTAATTGGAGTGGTCTGTGTATTCCATACTTGTAGCGATTGGATTTCACTCAAAACACACCAAGTGACTTCTCCCACCATATTATGATGTTGCCCACGTTTTGGGGTCGATCCGAAATTTGTTGGGGTAAAAAATTGGACAGTTCAAGTTCAAAGGTAATTCGTTCCAAATTAGAGTGGTTCGGGTAATTCATAGTTCTAGCGATTGGATTTCACTCAAAACACACCAAATGACTCCTCCCACCATATTATGATGTTGCCCAAGCTTTGGGCTCTATCCGAAATTAGTAGGTGTAGGAAATTGGACAATTCAAGTTCAAAGGCAATTCGTTCGAAATTGTTGTGGTCGGGGTAATTGATTGTTCTTGCGATTGTATTTTACTCAAAACACACCAAACACTACAAGAAAAACTGCCTTTAGTGACGGTTAAAAAGTGTCAAGAATGTATTTAATTGACGGCTAAAAAAGCGTCAAGAATACCAGTGTCAGGAAAAGGGTACCCACATACTTGACGCTTTTTGTCTGTCAAGAAAACGTTTTCCCTGACGGATAATAACCGTCACATAATAGAAAAAACCGTCAACTTATGGTAAACCTTGACACTTTTTAAGTGTCAACTTACCTATTTGTTGACATTTAAGAGCTCTTTTCTTGACGAATTTTAGCCGTCAAGAAACAAAGACTAATATTTTTTTTAAAAAAAATTAAATAAGCTTCTTCCCGAAAAAGACTGGAAATTGTACATTCACTATAATAGTATAAAATGAATGTTACAACATTCAAGTTGTCTATAAATATTATTACAATTACAATATGAATTAAATTTAAAATTAAACATACTCAAAAGAAACAAGGTATCTAGTAATTAAGTCTCAATTATAAGGAATTTTCCCTTAGAAGCTTTACTTTCCTCATAACAGCTCCCAAGTAATGCCCATTTCCAGCCTAACACTTCCTTCACGGTTGGAGTCACCCAAATCATACCAATCTAAGAAAATATAAATTTATGGATCAAAGAGTTATCAAGACCTACAACAATTGATAACTAGCTAGTAATCGAATCATCTCATACAATGAAATTGTTTGGATGACTTTCAAAGTGGCTAAAAGTGCATGCTTGTTCTACATTGCAAACCTAAATGAATTTGATAAACAACCTATTTTCAATTAGTTGTCATTTGCCTCAGACATGCTGTACGCAATAAGAAAGAAGAAGAGAACCCATATTACCTTGATCAACATATATCACATGAAAATTGTGTCTTCCTCCTCTTCATATGTGGCTGCAGAAGTTCGAATGGGGATGCTACCTCTTCATATATGGTTGCACAAGTTCAAATGGGGCTGCTGATTTCAGTTGCCCTATGATTAAATTAACCAAAACAACCATTTCAGTAAAATTTCTTTTGTAAATAAAATACAAAATAAGGAATAATGGGGTGCTCACCACTCTTTCTGCTGTACAATGCCAAGTGAACATCCAATTCTCAGTTAGTTGCTTTTATTTGCCTTGCACTTGATGTACACCAAAAAAAATAAAGCACAAGGTCAGCCAAAAATAGTAGAGACTAAAAGGAAACTAAAGAAACTAACAAATTGGGAATTCTCTTGGATAAAGACAAATTCAATTGACTAAAACATAAGTCAGCTGACCAATATGCGTATATGATAAGAAGGAAGACAATTTGAACAAGTAGTTCTAGATCAAATACCGTATTATTTGTTGTACCACCATCCACATCTTTATATATCACAATACTCTCTGGTCTTTGTTTTATAAACAATCCTGAAACAGCATATGATGACCATAAAAACGAATATGCATGTAGGATAATAGGGAAAACAATTCGAATAAGAAATTCTAGACCAATATGCACCTACATCTAAACAAAACACTCCAAACTAATATAAGGAAAAAAAATTATACAAACACAACCCACTCCAAACTAATAACATAGCTTAGTAGAGCTCAAACTCTTACAAGTCGCAGTTAGTAAGCATTAGCACATGCTTAGTTAGTTAATCTCACACTCCGAGTATAAATTCTATGGCTACTTGTAATAATTTAGTCAAAGAGATTGAAACCAATTTCTTAAAATCTTAGCTATCATTTTCTCTGTTTCTCTCTCTTTGTTAGCACAAACAAAAAAAAATCATAGAAATAAGAGGAAAGCAAAGAATAACTTAAAATTGATGATTAGAGCCTAGTAGCCAAACCGGAAATTAAATCACATCAATAACTAGTAAAAAACTAATCTAAAATCCTTGATTGTAAGTGCATCTAAATATAATCAAACTGAAAATCTGCACAAATTATGGACCAAGATTGAAACCTAAACTCTCAATGTATACATATATATAAAAAAAACTCAACATCAATTAGAAACCAATGAATGAGCAACTAGTCCAAAAGTAATATGAAATATGCTCACCTTATCTGCATATGCTCTCCAAATAGAAATTGAAAAAACAAAAATCTACAAAAATCACAGCCTAAGATTGAAACTTCAAACTCCAAATATGAATCAGAAAACTCAAACCTTTAATAATAGAGAACATGACTAATATCCATGTGTCTAAATCAGAACTTGTGTGGCATAATTAAAGTAGTATATATGTCAAAGCGTGCTCTAACATTTTATGTAAGTTGGCTTGACCATACACAACACAAGACAGAACACACAAACAAGCAAGGAGCTGGGATTAAATCAGTTAGTATATATGTGAAAGCGTGTTCTAACCTTTTATGTAAGTTGGCTTGACCATACACAACACAAGACAGAACACACAAACAAGCAAGGAGCTGGGATTAAATCAGTGGTACAAAATTATGCAGCTTAAGATGACACAAATTCTAAGCTCACAACAATTAAGCACATATAAGAAATATCAGAAAATCGAACTCTAAATGAACTCTTATCACAACCAACGAAAACAAAGCTAGAAAGTTACAACGAAGTAAGCAAGCAACTACTTTTAATCAGTGACACCAAACACAAAAGACATCACAGTATTTTACTAAAATTTCCTCAATAAATTCAAGGCATGGGTTTTGAGAAGGGAATTTAGGACAACAACATAAACCAAAAAATCTATGCATATCAATAAGATAAAATAAATGTGTTTTAGGTTTTACCTGAAGGAGAATTAGGAGTCGGAGAAAACAATTTGCTTACTATGCCTGAAACCCAAACATAGCAACATAAAAAATTGATCATTTGGACTGATTTGAGACCAAATGTTGTAAAGGGGGGAGAGTTTAGACTTCGGTGGGTTTGTGGTTTCAAAGGTTTGCGTTGTCATACGAGAGAGTAAGAGCAGAGAGATGACTAAGGGAAAGCGTGAGTTGAGAAATTGAGAGCACATAGATGAGTTGAGCGATTTAGCGATCTTGAGAAAGAGAAAATCGTAGATCCGTCACCTTCCAGTACCTGCACCAAAAGAAACCATGAGATCTAGAAACATTAATACATAAATAAAACGAAAAAGGTAGGAGATTGAATAAAGATGAAAACCTAATCGTGAATGGCATCATCAAGGTCGTCGGAGGTAACGCCGTCGAGATTCTAGCGAGCCAAGGAACTGAACGCTTTGGAGAGAGAAGTCAAGAACGATTGAAAGGAAAGGGCAGAGATAAAAAAAAAAAGAAAAAAAGAAAAAGAGAAGGCTGGGAGGCGCAAGGCAGAGAGAGGGGCAAAGGGAAAGTGAAATAGCTTTTAGGTTTTCTTTTAAAAATAAAAAACAAATGGATGACTATTGTCCCTTTTTTTGGAAGAGTAGCTGACGCTTTCTAATAAATGTCACGAAATTGTTTCTTTAGTTGACGTTTAAGAAAAAAATGTTAGGGTTATATTTCATTAGCTGACGTTTTTTAAAAAATGTCAACAAAACGGTTATATAGTTCACGTTTTTTCAAAAACGTCAAAATTTCGTAGAATAGTTTATGGTTTTTCAACAAACGTCAACTATGAAGTGTCAACTAAGGCCTGTTTTCTTGTAGTGAAATGATTCCTCCCACCATATAATGATGTTGCCCAAGTTTTGGGCACGATCCGAAATCAACAGGTGCAAGAAATTGGACAATTCACGTTCAAAGGCAGTTCGTTCCAAATTGGAGTGGTTGGGGTAATTCGTTGTTCTAGCGATTGGATTTCACTCAAAACACACCAAATGATTCCTCCCACCATATTATGAAGTTGCCCAAGTTTTCGGCTCGATCCGAAATCAATAGGTGTCATAAATTGGACAATTCACGTTCAACGGAAGTTTGTTCCTAACTGGAGTGGTTTGTGTATTCCATACTTCTAGCGATTGGATTTCACTCAAAACTCACAAAATGAATCCCACCATATTATGGTGTTGTCCAAGTTTTCGGCTCGATGCGAAATGAATAGGTGTAAGAAATTGGACAATTCAAGTTCAACGGCAGTTCGTTCCTAATTACAGTGGTTGGTGTATTCCATACTTCTAGTGATTGGATTTCACTCAAAACCCATCAAATGATACCTCCCACCATATTATGTTGGTTCCCAAGTTTTGGGCTTGATCCGAAATTAATAGGTATAAGAAATTGGACAATTCAAGTTCAACGGCAGTTCGTTCCAACTTGGAGTGGTAGGTGTATTCCATACTTCTAGCGATTGGCATTCACTCAAAACTCACCACATGATTCCTCCCACCATATTATGATGTTGCCCAAGTTTGGGCCTCGATCCGAAATCAATAGGTGTAAGAAATTGGACAATTCAAGTTCAAAGGCAGTTCGATCCAAATTGGAGTGGTTCGTGTATTACATACTTGTAGCGATTGGATTTCACTCAAAACTCACCAAATGACTCCTCCCACCATATTATGGTGTTGCCCAAGTTTTGGGCTCGATCCGAAATCAATAGGTGTAAGAAATTGGACAATTCAAGTTCAAATGCAGTTCGTTCCAAATTGGAGTGGTTGGGGTAATACATAGTTCTAGAGAGTGGATTTCCCTCAAAACACACCAAATGACTCCTCCCACCATATTATGGTGTTGCCCAAGTTTTGGGCTCAATCCGAAATCAATATGTGTAAGAAATTGGACAATTCAAGTTCAAAGGCAATTCGTTCCAAATTGGAGTGGTTGGGGTAATTCATAGTTCTTGCTATTGGATTTCACTCAAAACACACCAAATGATTCCTCCCACCATATTATGATGTTGCCCAAGTTTTCGGCTCGATCCGAAATCAATATGTGTAAGAAATTGCACAATCCAAGTTCAAAGGCAATTAGTTCGAAATTGGAGTGGTAGGGGTAATTCATTGTTCTAGCGATTGGAGTTCACTCAAAACATACCGAATGACTTCTCCCACCATATTATGATGTTGCCCAAGTTTTGGGCTCGATCCGAAATCAATAGGTGTAAGAAATTGGACAATTCAAGTTCAAAGGCAATTCGTTCCAAATTGGAGTGGTATTCCAGATTGGAGTGGTTGGTGTATTGCATAGTTGTAGCGATTGGATTTCATTCAAAACTCACCGAATGCCTCAACCTACCGTATTCTGTTGTTGCCCAAGTTTTGGGCATGATTCGAAATCAATAGGTATAAGAAATTCGACTATTCAAGTTCAACAGCAGTTTGTTCCGAATTGGAGTGGTTGGTGTATTGCACAGTTCTAGCTATTCGATTTCACTCAAAACTCACCAAACGACTCCTCCCACCGTAATGTGTTGTTGCCCAAGTTTTGGGCTCTATCCGAAATCAATTAAAACTCAGAAAATGATACCTCCCACCGTATTATGATGGTTCCCAAGTTTTGGGCTTGATCCGAAATCTATAGGTGTAAGAAATTGGACAATTCAAGTTCACCGGCAGTTCATTCCTATTCGGAGTGGTTGGTGTAGTGCATAGTTCTAGCGATTGGATTTCACTAAGAACTCACCAAATGACTCCTCCCACCACATTCTGTTGTTGCCCAAGTTTTAGGCTCGATCCAAAATCAATAGGTGTAAGAAATTCGACAATTCAAGTTCGAAGGCAGTTCGTTCCAGATTGGAGTGGTTGGTGTATTGCAAAGTTCTAGCGGTTGGATTTCACTCAAAACTCACCAAATGATACCTCCTACCATATTATGATGGTTCCCAAGTTTTGGGCTCGATCCGAAATCAATAGGTGTATGAAATTGGAAAATTCATGTTCAACGGCAGTTCGTTCCTAATTGGAGTGGTTGGTGTATTGCATAGTTCTAGCGATTAGATTTCACTCAAAACTCACCAAATGACTCCTCCCACCATATTGTGTTGTTGCCCAAGTTTTGGGCTCGATCCGAAATCAATAGGAGTAAGAAATTCGACAATTCAAGTTCAAAGGCAGTTCGTTCCAGATTGGAGTGGTTGGTGGATTGCATAGTTCTAGCTATTGGATTTCACTCAAAACTCACTAAATGATACCTCCAACCATATTATGGTGGTCACCAAGTTTTGGGCTCGATCCGAAATCAATAGGTGTAAGAAATTCGACAATTCAAGTTCAACGGCAGTTCGTTCCGAATTAGAGTGGTTGGTGTATTGCATAGTTCTAGCAGTTGGATTTCACTCAAAACTCACCAAATGTTACCTCCTACCATATTATGATGGTTCCCAAGTTTTGGGCTCGATCCGTTGTCAATAGGTGTAAGAAATTGGAAAATTCAAGTTCAACGACAGTTCGTTCCTAATTGTAGTGGTTGGTGTATTTCATAGTTGTTGCGGTTGGATTTCACTCCAAACTGACCAAATGACTCCTCCCACCATATTATGATGGTTCACAAGTTTTGGGCTCGATCCGAAGTCAATAGGTGTAAGAATTTCGACAATTCAAGTTCAAACGCGGTTCATTCCAGATTGGCGTGGTTGGTGGATTGCATAGTTCTAGCGATTGGATTTCACTCAAAACTCACCAAATGATACCTCCTACCTTATTATGTTGTTGCCCAAGTTTTGGGGTCGATCCGAAATCAATAGGTGTAAGAAATTCGACAATTCAAGTTCAAAGGCAGTTCGTTCCATATTGGAGTGGCTGGTGTAACGCATAGTTCTAGCTGTTGGATTTCACTTTAAACTCACAAAATGATACCTCCCACCGTATTCTGATGGTTCCCAATTTTTGGGCTTGATCCGAAATCAATAGGTGTAAGAAATTGGACAATTCAAGTTCAACGACAGTTCGTTCCTAATCGGAGTGGTTGGTGTGGTGCATTGTTCTAGCAATTGGATTTCACTAACAACCCACCAAATGACTCCTCCCACCATATTATGTTGTTGCCCAAGTTTTAGGCTCGATCCGAAATCAATAGGTTTAAGAAATTAGACAATTCAAGTTCAACGGCTGTTCGTTCCAAATTGGAGTGGTTGGTGTATTGCATAGTTCTTGGGATTAGATTTCACTCAAAACTCACCAAATGACTCCTCCCACTATATTGTGTTATTGCCCAAGTTTTGGGCTCAATCCGAAATCAATAGGTGTAAGAAATTGGATAGTTCAAGTTCGAACGCAGTTCGTTTCAGATTGGATTGGTTGGTGTATTGCATTGTTCTACCGATTGGATTTCACTCAAAACTATCCAAATGATACCTCCTACCATATTATGATGGTTCCCATGTTTTGGGCTCAATCCAAAATCAATAGGTGTAAGAAATTGGACAATTCAAGTTCAACGTCAGTTCGTTCCAAGTTGGAGTGGTTGGTGTATTGCATAGTTCTAGCGATTGGATTTCACTCAGAACTCACCAAATGACTCCTCCATCCATATTGTGTTGTTGCCCAAGTTTCGGGCTCGATCAGAAATCAATAGGTGTAAGAAATTCGACAATTCAAGTTCAAAGGCAATTCGTTCCAGATTGGAGTGGTTGGGGTATTGCATAGTTCTAGCGATTGGATTTCACTCAGAACTCACCAAATGACTCCTCCCACCATATTATGATGGTTCCCAAGTTTTGGGCTCGATCCGAAATCAATAGGTGTAAGAAATTCGACAATTCAAGTTCAAAGGCAATTCGTTCCAGATTGGAGTGGTTGGGGTATTGCATAGTTCTAGCGATTGGATTTCACTCAGAACTCACCAAATGACTCCTCCCACCATATTATGATGGTTCCCAAGTTTTGGGCTCGATCCGAAATCAATAGGTGTAAGAAATTCGACAATTCAAGTTCAAAGGCAATTCGTTCCAGATTGGAGTGGTTGGGGTATTGCATAGTTCTAG